TTTTGAGCAACTTTTGAGCAACTTCTTGGCAAATTGCGCGTAACTTTTTGGGAAATCTCGAGCAACTTGTGGAAAGCCCTATATCCGTGAAATATTTCCCAATTTTCAGGGTCATGCTGCAGCTCTCGTAAGTCTCACATGAATGGCTTGAAACCCTTCAGAGGACAATAGGACACACACCAGAAACAATGCCCCCAAGCCCCAAAACAACAACAGCTGCTACAATGACGACAAATAGAATTACAAGCTTACGAGAGCTGCTACACTACAGAATTTTCAAAATTGCGCGTGTTGCGAAAAATATTTGAAGGATAATAAAAACAACAGCCTCCATTTGGCACGAAAATATGCTCGGATATTTGTCCTTGGACATTATCTGTTCCTCAAAGCTCACAATTTTCCACGAGCTACGCTTTCAGAAAAATTGCTCGTTTCTCGGAACAAATAATGTCCAAGTACAAGTATCTGAAGTTATAATCCCTCAATTATTTTCGCTCGCACGAGATTGGTCTTAATGCGTCACGTGACTGAATACAGTGAAACCTGTATTAAGCGGACCCCATATTAAGCGGACACCAGCTTGAGTCCCCAAATTTTCTTCCCACATTTACTGTAAAATAAACCTGCATTCAGCGGACACCTCTGTTAAGCGGATGCGGACACCAAACTTAAGCCATTTTGTTGCACAAAACCCACAATAGGCGTACACTTCAAGGGCATTTTACCTCTAAAAGTTCAGCTGAGACTCCTTTAACATTGTTCAGCGATGTCGTTTTAAAGCTAAGTGATTATTCCAGATTGATGCATTGACTGACTGAACATTATGCTATGAACAGTTTTTGATCTCACACTGTGTTACACTGTGGTGCAAAAGGGTTAGTAATTACCTATTATTGCACAACATATTAGAACCTGTCTTGAGCGATCACCCTGTATTAACCGGACAGTAATGAGGGTCCCAATTGTGTCCGCTTAATACAGGTTTCACTGTATGCCCCAGCTAAAACTGGGGAATATCTGAGTGATATTCCCCAGTTTACAAAAGCCCCATATCTTCAAAGCTCACAGTTTTCCTCGAGCTACGCCCTCGGAAAACTGTTCGCTTCTCGGAACAGATAATGTTTGCGGACAAATATCCGAGCATATCTTCGTGGCAAATGGAGGCTATTGTTTATATTTTTTCGCGCCAAATGGAGGCTATTGCTTGTATATCAAGTGACTGGATGTGGCCGGATTTATAGCCGTACTAATCGAACCGTTTTTGGTAAGTGTTGGCAGTATATCAGGCGAATTTGGTCGAGTCATGGTTCGTATTTTGGCGAAACGAAGTCGAGCCAACATACTCATGGCGAGACCAAACGACCACCGAAGGGAGCGAAAAAAGTACTAAAGTATTAATATAGTATGTCGCTCAATATATCATGAGGAGTTTGAAATAAGACTACACCATTTGGTTCCCGTCGAGATGCGGTTAAAATTGGTCTTTTACCTTTTCACCTCTGGCAGCGGTCAAGTTCATGTTAGTTCCCGTTTCACCAATCTCTTATTGTTGTACCCTTTTGCCATAAGTATTCAGCAAGACAATTAAGTTACCCGAGATCCGGTCAATTTTAAGAGTTCAGAAATAGCTCAAATTTTAAGGTCACAGTATGCCTGGCCTTTAGTTAATTAAAAGGGCTCGAAACAGTTTCCAGTACTTTCCAGGACTTGGACTTTGATGGGTCATTATAACCACTCTATATCGGTTCATGCCAAAATCATGGTATCAAAAAAACTGCCCGAGCGTTAGTGAACATGTTGCTGTCAATTTTGTGGCACAATAGGTTACCATAGCAACAATATGACCTGCGAAAACCACCCCTGATTTTAGCTTTAGGCGCTTATAACTCACAAACGAGCTCTGTGACCCCCATTGTTTATTATCGAATTGTAATCAACATGATAAGATGCAACTTGTTGTAAAGTTTAAAAAAATTCTGTGGAGGGGTTTCAGAGCCACCTGAAATTTTCGAAAATTTGTATAATACCATTATTGTGGCATCACTTGTTCAACCGTGGTAGTATTCATCCTTCAAAGTGTAGCTGTCAGAAAAGTGCTGGAAACTGTTGCCAGCCTCCTTTTAAGGAACGCGCTACATCGAGACACCTCTTAAAAGAGGTGTCTCGCGTCTAAACGATGCAGCGCGTTCAGTTTAAACTGTAGATACTTAAAACCCTATATAGGCCCTAAAATCCTTGTAGGCTTATCGCTACCATTTAGAAGCAATGAAAAATTCGGCATTCATTTTTTTTTTTGGTATAGTTTGATGGCTAGATCTAGGGCTTTTAGTTTGATATAGAGGTTTAAACCGGCCGCGCTACATCGCTGGGACGCGAGATACCTTTGAAGGTATATGTAAGTATACAGTAACCTTAACTCATGGCTGACTAATAACTGAGAATCCAGCAGCCCCATGCAGACCCTCCTTAAACAGTCAATGGTTCGTTCGTAGACGGGTATCTTGCCGGGACTGTAGAGTATATCATAACTGAATAAATCTCAGTAAACAGTAATGGTACGTTTTTTCTCACCTAAATTCAGGACAAAGGAGTCACTATCGTGGCAATTGGCATCGGATCAGGTATCAAAGACAGCGAGTTAAAAAAAATTGCTGGTGACCGCGGTACGTGGATGAAGGTTCCCGATTTCGATTCCCTTGGTGACAAACTGAACGAAATTTTGGTTGGCGTCTGTGGTAAGTGTAAACCTTGATGTGTTTCATTGACCGATTTCATTGATTTACTCGACCATTAGGTTAAGTGCATCGCGTAATATTTTTTATTCCTGAACTTACTGATTGATTGAATGACTGAATGACTGACTGCCTGAGTGACCTGACTGACTGACTGACTGACTGACCGACTGACTGACTCACTGACTGACTGACTGCCTGCCTGAATGCCTGACTGACGGATAGACGGACGGACGGATTGACTGACTAACTGACTGACTGACGGTCGGATGGACTGCCGGACTGCCGGACTGACTGACTGACTACCAATTGATTGACTGATTGATTGAATTGTAGACAGACTAACTGACTAGATGATTGATTGTTGATTGATTGATTGATTGATTGATTGATTGATTGATTAATTGATTACATCGTGATCTCTTTTAGTAATTAACGGAGGTTACACAACGTGGTCTGGATGGTCAGAATGCAGTGTAACTTGTGGCGGGGGAACCAGAACACGAACGAGAAACTGCACAAACCCGGTGCCAATGGGAGGTGGCAAAGATTGCAGTGATATAGGAGAACCCGTGCAAGAGCAAGAATGCAACAATCAGACATGCGAGNTGGAGAAATTTGAAAATGGAGCTTTCTTCCAACGGTTAGGCCTACCGTCCACACTGACCTGTCATGAAAACGGATCTTTTCGAAAACGCTCTTCAAACCGGTGGAATTTGAAAACGCCGGCTTTGCGTTTTAGTGTGAACTAACCGCCGACCGGTCAGCTCAGTGGTGGAGCACCGGACTAGCGTGCGGGAGGTCGCGGGTTCAAACCCCGGCCCGACCAACACCCAGGGTCGTTAAATAATTGAGGATAAAGTGCTGCCTTTGTAATGACATCTGCAAATGATTAGACTTTCTAGTCTTCTCGGGTAAGGACGATAAACTCTTCATAATTAATTCTGTGGGACGTAAAAGAACCCACACACTGATCGAAAAGAGTAGGGGACGTAGTTCCCTGTGGGGGTGGTCTATCTCTCATCTGATGGTAAAATGCTCGGAGATATTAGCTGCATAAGCTACTCTGAAATATGAGAGTTAATAAAGTAATGTAACGGAAAACATTTTCAAAACGGAGCTTTCCGAAAAAGATGACTTCATGATAGTCATGTGATTTCCCTGCTTGAGTTTTCCTCAAACACAAATTCAAAATGACCGGTGGCTGTTACGTTTTCACATTTTTCCGGCCTAGTGTGAACGGGACCGCTCAAGTTCAATGTTGTGACCACTCCGCTAGCTGCCTCTCAGAGTTTTTTCATTTGAGTTTTGTTTTCTTTCTCCTATTACAGCTATTGATGGAGGTTACACCCGATGGACTACTTGGAGCACTTGCAGTAAGACATGCGGCAAGGGAACGCAGATACGCTTTCGAAGCTGTACCGACCCACCACCGAATGGCGGGGGCCGATCATGTGCTATCCTTGGAAAACCTACACAAACTAAGAAGTGCAAGTTGGCCGGGTGCAAGAAACGTAGGCTAAACGACAGGCTATTCCTTATGTGTTTCAGGCATACTCTTTTAATATCTTTGTAAGGGTTTTTTATAAGAATATTGAGGTTGATTCGGGACAGTAACGAAATATTTAGAATATGCTGAGAATATGTTCAGTACAAGGCTAAGTTTTAGTTTTTTTTTTTTTAACACGTCGACAGAAACTGTATTAGATTAATATCACCTGTTTTGAAATGAGCCTGATTAAATTCACAGGAGACATTCAATGTGAAAAGTTTATTGAGCTTGCGTCAGTCAGTCATCTGATGCAAATCTTACTGTATCTGTATCCTCACGCATTACAATTATTGATTCTAAGAATTAAAACCTGGAACCTGCGCTACGCCAGATACGAAGAACCACTAAAAGACGAAACTTATTCCTCAGCTAATACTTAGCCCATTGACGCCTGTGCCGACCGTAACCTGCCGTGACAATCGTTGGCCTTTGTTCCACTTCTAACGTCATCCCCTTTGACCAAAATTGACATCACTTATATTTAGGTTCTGCAGGAGGGAAAGATCCTTTAATGATACCCAGATCAGAGTGATTGGGTCAATTGAGCCTGAAATATGCACGAAATTGAGTGAAAACCTCGTGGGAAAATTTCCCTCAACTACACTTGACTACTCTGTGGTAAGAATTTCTCGTCTGGATGATACTTTCTCAGATATTTTTGAACTGGCTGGAAGCAATGCATGCCCAGAAGAAGTTCAACAACAGTAACAAAAAGATAAGAAAAGGAGAAAGAGGAAAGGTGAAAAAAAGGAAAATAAGAAACCGAAAATAAAGAAGCCTAAAAGACGTAAGACACTTTCTCTATCAAAATTTTGATTTGTGCGCATGCCCGAGCAAAAAGTACGTCATAAAACACGATGCTAATGGAAAGAAAGGCGTGCCTTCATGTTGGAATGTCTTTTTGAGTAGATTGGAGGTACGCTGAAAATTTCAAAAATGTCCAAAAAATGCGTTTTTGCCAAAAAGCTCTGGTGTCAATGGGTTAAAAAAGTTATTAATTATTTATTGTTTTTATTATTATTATTATTATTATTATTATTATTATTATTATTATTATTATCGATTGACCCTTTCCTTTGTTCTTTATCCTTTGTAATAGAACCAGCACCATGCAAGCAGGGTCTCGATCTGGGCATCTTGATCGACCGTTCGTCGAGTATTCGGCCTGTTAACCATGAACGCCTTCTAAAAGATTTCCTGCCCAAATTCCTTAAAAGTTTCAAAATTGCCAAAAGAAAGACCAACGTGGGTATCATCGCCTACGACGAGGCTGCAGAGCTTCTTGCCCCATTTAACGGTCGAAACTCCAGATCTAAGACAAGGATAATTAACTTCGTGAAATCTCTGCACCCGGGCGTTCAGTTACAAACTCGTACGGACAAAGGGCTGATAGCCGCTAATAAAGAATTGTTTACTAAAGGCAATGGCGACAGGAAAAGCCACCAAAACGTGCTCGTGACTTTCACTGACGGGAGAGCTTGGCCTAAGAGACGTATTAAACCATTCACGGAGACAGTACCTCCGCTTATGGTGAGTGAATTTTAGTCCCTTTTGTAGTTTTCTTTACGTCACCTCCACTCCTCCGCAGGCGTTACAAGGCCAGGGTCATCACGCAACGTTTCTCCCCACTGCGTGACGACCCTTACCCTGCGAGCGCAGACGTATTTACGATTGTCGCTTGTCGCTTGTCTCCCAGGAAAATTTTCGGCGGAGACTACCTCTTATCGTGGGTGAATCCATTTTTTATTTTATTTGATTTTTCATTATGGGCACCAGCAATATATTTCAAAATTGTAATTTTTCTGTTGCCATAATGATTCGATTTAGCGCACTCCTTCCAATAAGCGCCCCCTTTCGAATAAGCGCCCCCTTCAAATGTGCTTTTTATTTTAAATAAGCGCTCGTATTCCAGTAAGCGCCCCTATTCTAATATTAAAATATTACAGCGCCGTCAGAGTATGTATCAACGGAGGTTCATCTTAATTGCTCACATACGTAATGCTGCACTACAAAAACAGTGGTCTTCGTTTGAGTTTCTCAACTATTATGTCCATGTGAAAGCATAATGCCTACAAACGAATGAACTCTTCTTCAAATATTGTTTTGGTCATTCGGATGTTTCTCGAAAAAGAAGTAAGCGCCTTGTCTCAAGTAGGCACCCTCCGTGGAGGTACCAAAAGTAAATAAGCGCTCCGGGCACTAAATCGCATCATTAGGCATCCCTTTAATTATCCTTGTCACGAGCTATTATTGTCATTTCAATTTTAATTTGAAGCTATTTTGCAGGCCCTAGGCTGGGTAATGCTATCCACCGAATAAATAGCCATCTAACGGATAAATGCTAACAAAACAAACCACGCTATCCACTGGGTAGTGATTTATCCTATGGATACAGTTATATGTTTTTAATTAATTAAGCTGTATAAAACTTCTCCCTTCCCTAAACGGCAAACCAACCAAAATCTCTGACATTTCTGCAACGAGTCATATCAGGCTTTACTGCCTGGAGTCTGGCTCCAAAATTACTTTAACACCATCAAAGTCATAAATAGAACTGATAATCTGACGTTGCATGTGTCGGCATAGTCCAATTTGTATTCCTATAAACTAAGAATCTTCACCAGAATATTTTCAGCCTAAAATCGGCGGAAAAATAAGAATATTCAACCTGGGCCGGGGAAAAAAAACAATATTATTTTTTCGTGATTGACCAATTGCTTTGGAGCCTGCGTAGATGGCGGAATTTCGCGTGAAAGTGCTACATGTTTCAGCTGCAGGGTCACGCACGTTAAGGATTGAGGCCGTGAGGAAATTTCCAAAGCACTTCGAAATCCCGCCAGCTACGCAGATGAGTTTTCTCTTAGACACTCAAC